CGCCGCTACTCGCCATCCCTCCCAGGCTCTCAAGCCTGGGAGGAGGGGGAGCAGCGGCGCGCGAATCAGCTGTTTCGCGCGTCGCGGCAGCTCGGGGTCTCCCCCCTCCCTCCCAGGCTCTCAAACCTGGGAGGGAGGGAGGGGGGGACTCCGAGTGGCCACGGCGCGGGCGCCGCTTCTCCCCCTCCCTCCCCCCCCTAGGCTTGAGCGCCTGGGGGGAGGAGGCAGGGCTGGGGATTTGTGGAAGGGGCGGAGTTGAGGCGGGGCCGGGGTAATTAAAGAAGGGGGGGGGGGCGGCCAAAATTGTTTTTGCTTTGGGCGGCAAAAATCCTAGAGCCGGCCCTGACAGTTGGTCAATTCAGTCTGTAGTGCAGGAGTACTCTTGGATTCCTCAGTGACTCTGAGCTCTCACATACCAACAGACATAAGTAATGCTTTCTGTCACTTCTGGTTGGCTAGGAGACTCCATTATTCTGGTGGGCAAACAGCTGGTCTCAGTTATTGATGCCTTCCTCATCTCTCAGCTAGACTACAGCAATGCAGTATAGTTGGATATGAAGCCTTCAGCACTTAGGAAACTAGTACAACTAGTACAAAACGGTACAGGGCATCGTTTCAGCAACACAGCCTACAGTGAGTATATCAGACCTGTTCTCCACTCTCTTCACTGGCTTCTCATAGAATTTTGTGTCAAGTTCAGGGTTTCAGTCCCCCTCAAAGCACTCCATGGTCTGTGCCTGGGATAGGAAAAAGATCATGGTCAACAGCTCCATTCCTATGACATAATGTAACTCTTGACAGTAAGAGTGAAGCTCATCTGTGCAGGAAGTAGAACTTTCTTGGGTGGCAGTTGCAGTCTGGGACTGTGGAATGAAGACTAAGGAACATCACAGACTTCACTTTCTGCTGCAAGTGCAAGGCACATTTCTTTTATTTTGCCTTCTCTAATATAAACACATAGCAACAGGTATTTAAAAAAAAAACCCTACCAAAACAAGACACTCCACTGCACTTGTTTCTACCCCTTAAGAGCGGATGAGAGACCTGAACGTGACAATTGTGTAGTCACATTGCTTAGTGCACTACTGGAAGGAACTCAAATACTATGGTGATGAGTGCAGTATAAAAACCTTTATAGAATAGAGTAGAATAGTTATGTCCTTTGTTCTGGAGAGAAGACAGGTGAACAGCAATCTGCAGTGAATGCATGTTCTCTATTACAATAGCCAATGCTGAAAAGTGTAGAGTCAGTTCTCTAGGTGTGTGCTGCATTGCAGTGTATTGCTCTAAGCTAGAAAACTACAAACTGTTGCCTTGGGAACTGCTCTGCTCTTGTCATTTTTGACAAGTTATATGCTTGATGTGTCCATAACACTTGGCCCTGATGATTGTAACCACTGTTAGCAGTGAAAAGGGTTGTAATGGTAAAACATCAATAATTACAAAGAATTGCTTAATGGAATACAAAGATTTTATTTTTTGGCTGATTTTTAAATTGAGTTGTATGTACACATATGAATGTAATCTTTGTGTATCACTTTTACGAGAGCCAAAATCCAGCCGATTATTTAGTATGAACTAATGTAAGTCCAAATAGTAACTTGTCGCTGTCATTCTGTGATAGCCCAGCACACAAAAATAAAAGAAAAAGTATTCATTTAGGTGGACGGTATACATATATGAATTTTAAGGCTATCATTTATAAAAGTTCAATTCCTATCATACTGCATTATTATTCAGAAAAAACTGATGTATTAGAAAGAAAAACACTGTGCCAAAGTATCTGCTAAATGCCTGTCTTTCGCCAGTTGTAGCTTCAACTTTTCAGTATATAACCATGAATAACAGTTTGTTTACAATCTACATATATTTAGATTTAAATCTATATTAAGAAATGGTGATTTTGCAGCAACATGAAAGAATAAAGTAAATCTAAAATTAGTTCTGATTCTTCTAAGCCAAACATTATTAAATCAATGACAGAATAATTGATTTGTACCATGTGCACTCTCTGAGATTGCCATTTGTAACTTAACTAAAATAACAGTCCTGAATTCTTAATCACATTTTGACATACAGTACATAGCAGATATTGAGATGAATATGTTTTTAAATGGTTATTTTGAAGTGGAACTAACATGTTGAATAATGATTACTGTATTAACTGGTAAAGATTAAATGACACACAAAAGGAAATATTAATATTTTCAGATTCATTTTACTGACACCTTCTTTTTTCTTTTTTCCTCTCTAGGTCCTCCTAGCCAGCAGTTTTGTGCCAGTGTATGCAGGAATTAAAGCAGTGGAATATAAAGGAGAGGTAATATTGTGATGTTTGAAGACTTGGGTATTTAATTACAAAAGCATTTTTCATTTGTGACATCAAAATCTCAGATGAATTTGGGGGCTGGGGAGAAGGGAGAATCACAAGTCCATTGTTTCGTTACACACTGATCGTTATTTATTTAACACTGTAGATGAAAAGAGCATTAAAGGAAGTCATTGCAATCCATTCTTATACAAACATAGCGAACGCCAGAGACACTATACATTTGGAAATGGTAGTGACCTGAAAGCAGCATTCTTAAAATGTTAATATAATATCCAGTTGTTTATCTAGTCTGATGGGCTGCTAATGATCACAGTATTGTTTGTAACACAAAAATCTCTAGGTAATTTTTTCCTTCTAAAAATTGTAGTTGGACTCAGCTGAGATGTACCAAAATGTTAATGTTACATTTAGTGTTTTTCCTCCCATCAGATCTTTTGCAGAATAAGTTCAAATAAATCATTTTGCGCATCACTGAAATGCATTCATCTTTGGCAATTTAGTATTTGGCTGCCAAGAGAAAGCTTGAGTTCATTTCCTGGTTATTGGAATGATGTATGTAGTAGTGCCTTGTACAATTCAACTCCACTGATGACATATCTGGCACGTAAGAGCACCACCCTAGCCAGTAACCTGAGTCAGAGGGGTCAGACCATGATGAAAGGTCCACCAGAAATTCAGTAGCAACCTCGCTCTTTGCCAGATGGAGTCATTTGGATGTTGATCTTGTTTTCACAATTCAGGGTACATACACTGGATGTCAAAAGCACTCTATTACTTGAATGGGACAAAATCTCTTTGTAAATCTAAGGCTATCTCTATACTGCACATCAGTTGTGGCAGCACATAGGGTATGTGTAGCTACATGCCACAGTGAAAAACAGGCTGCGTCCACATTGTAGTGTGAAGCTACACATATCAGTTAAAGGCTCTGCCAAGAGGAAGGCAGTGGGGAAAGACTCCAGCAGTGGGGAGCTGGCAGAGCCTTTCCCCACTGCTGGAGTCTTTCTCTGCTGCCAGAGAAGGCTCCTGCAGTGGGCAGACAGCAGGTTGCCACATTGCTAAAAAGAGCAGTGTAGATGCGGGAGGCACTGCTTGGGCAACTATTGAGCCATGTAGGTTATATACCTGGGTACATATGCACAGGCTTCGGGTGTGTCTTTTCTTGCTTAGTCAGTCCCTTACCGTCTTCACTGATATTTGTACCCCTGCTAGGGGGCTAGCTTTGTATATTCTCTACACTAAGAAGTTTGCAGTAGTTTTTGTTGCTAATCCCCTAAAGTGGAGAGCAACAGAAGATTATTGCATTTGATGTGAAGGGGAATTTATAGGCAATTAGAGAGTGTGGGGTCTTTCACCCTCTGTTCCAGAATGCTTAAAGAGTGGATGAGACATGCAAAAATTTTACTGCTTGGTGATGGTTCTGTGGCTCATGAAGCAAAGCATGTGACTCTTAAAAAAATGGTTCTGCAGATGTAATATATTTAGAGAATTTCATTTACTGGTCTGTGTAGATTCCATTAAGCCCAGCCCTCATGCTTTACATCCTCAATTTGAGTTTCTGGGTTGGTTTTCATTGCACACTATTTCAGAATTTCCCCTATCTTTGCACTTTGAGCCACTTATAATAATTCAGAAGTTTTTGCATTTTCAATCAGTGTTCATAGCTCTAAAGGTACTGTGTAATGGCATGGAAGTTAATTGGAACTGGGACTGCAGTGCTTAAGCCTATGGAACAAATGATTTGTAATTCAGCCCCTTTTAGAAGTTGTGTATGGTCCCACAAATGTTGAAGTTTTGAGGAGGGGCATTTTGCAATATAAACAGAATTAGGAAAAAAAAAGTTGAAAGTTTGAGTTGTGAGATTACAAAATTGGACATGTTAAACTGTTAGAAAAATGGGAATTTAAAGAAAGTAGGATGTGAGATTCTTATTAAAAATACAGTAGTGTAAGTAATACATAGTTGGTGACAACCCAATTGTTCTGGGGGACCAGGCAAAAAGAAGACTGTCATAGAGTCACAATATGTGGGCATGTGAGAGAGGGAGCAGTCTTCTGGAATTGTCAGATTTGGAGTTGGCTACAGAGGGAAGGCCAGGTTACAGAATCACATGGCTGGTCACAGATAGGGAGCTGGTCCCAGGGCAACTGCCCTTGTAGAGCTGAAAAATAGGCTGGCCTACAGCAGAGACCAGTCCACTATGGAGGTAGCTTTGCAGCCAAATGGTGGAATATGGAGAGCCCCAGAAGAACTGCTGAACCAGAAGATGTTATAGTCAGAGGTAATGCTTGCTATACATTGGTCACCTCATTGATTATTGCTAGGGTCTTGCAGTGTCCTCCTAATTGAAGGACTGGTTTCACTTCATGTGACAAAGGCCATAAACCATTTTCAGACAGAGTAGAGGTAATAGGCTCTTTTGGAAAGCTGTCACAACCGCATTTCCTGTGACTGAATCCCAGAGGTATCTTCATCATCTGCCATTAAGTTTAGAGAAATTTGCACTGTTTTGCACTTGGATAGTGGGCACTTATTAATTGTGCACATGCTATCAGCTCATTCCTCCAATGAGGACTTAATATTTCTTGTGTTGTTTGTAGGAATACAATTTACGATTAGTAAAATAACAAAGTTATAAAGTTTTGAAAATTGTTTCAGCCAAGTACAAAATTTGTGTTTTTTGGGAGGTCAAAGCCTTACTCAGATGTCCCTTTAAGCATAAAACAAATTCAGTCTAGTTTAGCAAACGCATGAATTTTTGGTGTAGATTTGGTGAGGCATACTCTAGCTTCCAAATTAGGGAAGATAATCTTCTGACCCAAGTTAATATATAAATATAATAATAGTTTAGACATGAATAATTTATTGAAATTGATCGATATGTGATGTTTCCCCCAAAAGCTTAACCAGTCAGGATAATGCTAGTTAATGTCAGAAAATTATAAAATATCCTTGTTTCCACAGCAGGTGCATGGAATAGCAACTATTAACTTCATGGTAACTCAGAACACTGTTAATATAATGAAACAAATTGCTATAATTAAATTGGGAAACATAATATGTTACTATTACCATTGCCATCGTGTGGCATAGTTTTTTTAACCTTTTTTGAAGATCTGATATTCATCTCCTGTCAGCATTCTGTCATTGATTTTCATAGCCAGAATGTGTGCGCTTTTGTCCCTTGAGTTTTGTTATCCAAATTGTCTTAGCATTGGGCAAGCAAAGAATAAATGGAGTACCACACCTGTTTTTTTAAAGATTGCTATAATATGCCAATTGGCTAATGTAGTGTTTTTTGATCTAGGGGTTTATCTTTAAATTGATTATTTCAGTTAATAATTTAATAGTTTAGACAAGACTTTTGATGTATACAATCGAATTAGTGTTCAATTATTTGTTTGAGAATCCTGAAACTATGTCCGAATTTGTATCGGTGTGTACAAACTTGATACTGGTTAGCTTTACTTCTGGGGGCATTCTGCACCAAAAAATTAAAAATTCCGTGCACAATATTTTGAAATTCTGCAAAATTCTTCAATTTTTTTGTCAAAATAATGCTACGTAATCATGCCAGTTTCAATTATTTTGGTAATTTATTTCGAAATACCTGTCAGCAAGTATGTCTGTAACAATACACACAAACAAAAAATTCCCCCAGGAATAGAGAGTTAAAAAAAATCCCTATGACAACCTAGTTCCTGTTTCTCTACTCCTCTCCCTCCCGCCCAGAGCCAAGCTGGGGGGCCAGGCACCCACAATCCCTCCCCCAAAGCCCAGCTGCGGGGGGGCCCCGCGCCAGTACACCCAAACCCCTTCCTCTGACAGACCTCAGCTGTGGGCCCCTCCCACCCGACCAGATACCCGCAGCCCCTTTCACCCTCGCTCCCTAGGGGTCCAGAGGGAAATACAGCCTGATGCTCAGTCCCAGACTTGCACGGAGTTTCCTGTGTGCCGCCCTCAGAGCATGCTGGGAACTGCAGCTGCCAGGAACCCTTTAGCTCCCTCCTCCTCCTCCCGGCAGTGCCTTCTATGTGGGCTCTGCCAGGTCCAGCAGCTCCTACTGGTGGCTAGCAGCACTGCAGCTCATTTCTGTGGCGGAATGGAAATTCTGCACACAGTGTTAATTTCTGCAACATTCTGCATTGCGCAGTGGTGCAGAATTTCCCCAGAAGGATTTGATTGTGAGTTATAATGTGTTTACTCAAGCACTATGACAGTAATAGCTTCATTACACACTTTAGTGGTGTTTTATCTACATCCTTTCTATGATAGGTACCAATGAACTGCTCCTCTGGAAGTAATGAGAAGTCTCATGAATGGGGTAGATAAGTTCTCTTAAGTTGGCTTCTTATCTATAACTATAGTTTGACTGATCACTTCTGCAGTTTTTGTGCAGTGTGCTGCTCACAGCCCTCATAAATAAAACATGCAAGCAGTACCTTCTGTTGTAGTTACTTGGATTGCTAGTTAGTTGAACAAACTGGTCTTTTAAAAATAATAAATAGTTTAAATAAAAGAAGTGTTATATAAAAGCACTCATCTGTATGATTAGATAGAAATTTCATCTTGAACAATGGAAATTGGAATTCTAGTTGTATCTTTTAACTTTCTGCAAAAAGTTCATTTGCATCCATATTTTCATTGGGCTACACATTTTTGTTTTGTTTAGAATAATTGTTCTAGAATACCCTGTTAGATCTTAGAGTTGTTATATAGATATATGCATGCACATATACATAAAACATTTCTATTGTTTATATGTGTATATATACACACACACACGTTATATCAACATGCAAAATTGTAAATTATTAGTATTCTAAATTCTATATAATCTCTGAGGAATTCTGTTGTATTGTGCTTTTGAGGTTTTTATTTTATTGATCTTGGTATGTTCTTATTAATCTGTTAACTAAAAAACAAACAAACCAAAATTAGCGAGTCAAGATTTAAGACAAGTCCAGAGTACCAAGTATATATGAAACATTCACTAATAAAGTAATACATGTATATAATGTTACCCAGTGAACAATGAATACTTTGTGTTGTCCAGACTTTAGAATTTTGGTTTATTTGGTATTCAGGAAAACATAATGTTTCTTTTATAGTGTTCTGTGAAGTACAGTATATATTCAACATGTTTTTTAACATTTTTTTTTGTTTATGTGATCTAAGGGGGCCAATGACAAAGGTTCAGCACTAGAGCTGGGCAAATACTTGATTTTTCTGTTAGTTAGCGGTTTTGAAAAATTGAAAAAAATACTTGATTCGGGTTGAACTAAATTCAAAACTTGCCAAAAATAATTTTGAGTATCCCACATCATAGATCAGGGGTCGGCAACGTTCGGCACGCGGCTCGCCAGGGTAAGCACCATGGCGGGCCAGGCCAGTTTTATTTACCTGGTGACGCGGCAGGTTCGGCCGATCGCGGCCCCCACTGGCCGCGGTTCGCCGTCCCGGGCCAATGGGGGCGGCGAGAAGCGGC